GGCTTGAATACTAAAAATTAAAGATTATCACAAGGGTCATCTCGACAGCTGAAAGCAATGTAACTGTTGGCAACGGTAAATCATATTACAAGAAGATAATTGGATGTTTCTGTGTGTATAACCCAATCAAAAATTGGTTTCAAAAGCAGTGTTCTACCCTGAAAATTACATTTTACATTTCAGTTTTGCTTTACACTCAATTAATAATTAGTTATATACACCAGACAAGTATGTAGTAGCATTTTTGTATGTTGTGATGGGTGGACCATTGGTGTTTATTTGATGTGGTCAAAGTAACATGACATTCCATTGCACAAGAAAATCAATGTAATATCTAAAATATATATTTTATAGACAATACTTTGATATATCCTCTGTCTTGCATAATTCATAGGGAGCATGTCACGATCTCACAATCTAGGCAATACGACGTAACTTTTGTATTGCTTCGGATAAAAAAAACTGTCTCTTTCTTAAATCATGCATTTTTGTTTTGGCCGTTACACGAGGCTGATGACCCAAGGTTCATGTGTTAAGACTATCTGCAGATATTGTCTAGTCACACTTGTTTTCTAGAACACATCGCATTGCTAATTGGACAATGTAATGAATGGAGCATGCATAAACACCTATTCAAATGTTTGCTACTCGTTCATTGGTTACATACAATGCTTCACTCAGAAAATTGGTAAAATTCATGAAAGCATGAATGCACCAGTGACGTGCGGTGAGGTCAATGGCCAGGGAGGCACTGGCTGGTGTCAGAGCCAGATTCACACACTGAGGGGAGTGTGGCCTTACGGAGGGGGCGTGGCCTCACTGAGGGGGGCGTGTTAGACACGTCCCCCTCAGTGAAGCAGATATGGTAGCTGCCTCCCCTGGTGCTTTTTCATTGCAGTTTCATGACGAGACCAGCGAGCCTAAATATCTTTATACACATACCTGAAATAAGTTACCTGTATGGAAGGCGAGGACATGAAATGAAGGGGTCTACAAACATTACATTGGTGACATACTGAGATAGTAACAGGCATGCGCTTATTGCCCGCGCTCCATCCAGTTACTGAGGGGTTGCACAATCAGAGGGGAGGCTGAGCTCGTCGCTGCCTCACCTCTCGTCTCTTCCTGTATTTACAGCGGAGCTCCACAAATTTGGAGATTTTGACTGTAAAAATGATTGGAATCGTTCAGAAATGACATTTATACCATAGATCAGTGGAAAAATATTAATATAGATTTCGTTTGATTATTTTTTTCCTTTTTGTAACAGCTATTTTCATTGGAGTATGACAGTTGAGGCTCTGCCTCCCCTGACCGCACGTCCCTGGAATGCACAACAGGTCATCGTTAAAACACAATAGCATACTTTATAACCCTCCAAAATATTTTGTTAAATACATTGTACATGTAGCGCACGAAGTCCTGTACATTAATGTGTGTCTAAAAGCAACCTATGGCATGTAATATTGTTTTTTTTTAATTCCCTTTGCATACATTTATACACATGGCCATAGATTTGTATACAAGGCATAGATTTATTCTGGTTTGGGTTCTGTATAAGAATAGTCAAAACAAAATCCTTCTGTAAGTCTCTCTTCACTGCCATTAATATATTATTCCAAATGCAATAGTAAATAGGTTTCAGCCTTTGGAATAGAAGCCAACGTACTTTATACTGTCCAAGCACCCAATACGTTGCACAATCTTAAAAACAACTAGATATGCAAATATCGTCATTAATATTGTGAAATGCATGCGTTTATTATTTAAGGACATCAGTAGCAGCAACATAAGCAATGGTCAATCCACTGCTGGATGAAGGCAACATTATCACCATTCTCTCGCAGTCCTGCATTGCTCTGTTCATTATTACTGTTGTACACGAGCTGATCTCATTGCTCCATCTCCCTAGTAGTCATCCTCTTGGGCGTGTTTCCTTCTTTAGTTATCATTCAATTACAAGTCTTGCTGATTGGCTATCACCCTTTCTCACCATGCGTCCTGCCCAGCCCTCCCTTTTATTCACAGTGAACGAGTTGCTCTCTGATCCGTGTGTCCCTCGTCCCTTCTCAGTGTAATTCCCGGCATGTATTATTTGCGTCCTTTCATTTTGTGCATCAATTATCTGTTCCAGTGTGCATGTTTCTGCTCCACCGTCGGTAATTTGCTTAGATAAACATGTTGGCTTTTTTCCCGTATGTGTGCTTCCTCAATTATTTTCGATAGCGTATCAAACTTGACTTATGTATTTTCCTACCTCTGCATCATTTAATCAGCACGTCTAATATTATTAACATTTTCTCCCTTTATGTTTATGCATTTATTTGTCTAATCCAATGTTCATAACATTTTTTTTACTTATATACTGTATTTTATTTAATTTCTCCTTCATGGTAGTCTTGACGGTTGTTCCTCAACAAAATTAAACACAAGAAGTGATCATAGGCTGGTGCGATGCGAGCAATTCTACATGTCCAAAGAGAAGACAAACTTAATAACGGATGTGGAGAACCAATATAGCGGATCCTATTTTCAGACGTACAATGTTCATAACTATCCTATAGCATTCCTGGTCTTTCGTTCGAAGAATGGAAAAGCAACAGTGTTGAAACGTGTTCATAGTTGAATGCTAAGTATTTTCAACCAAACAAAGGATCCAGTAGATGCTGTTTGGATTGCAGCTACACTGCAAGGATATTGCATGGATGGCACATTCGTTGGTGACGTGTTTCATAGTTTGGAATTCACCACAGTCACAGTTCGGCGATCTTCTGATAAGTCGCCGATTCTTTGATTAATCGCCGAATGGTGGCTGGATGTTATCTACCTTGCCTAGTATACAGGAGGTCGTGGGTTTCATCCCGACCTTGATGTCTGTATCTTTGGAGTTTGCATGTTCTCCCCATGGTTGCGTGGATTTTTCTCTGGGTCCTCCGGTTTTATCCACCCACATGTAGAAACATGCGTTTAGAGTATTTGGCCGCTGTAAATTTCCACGTGACAAGCCACTTCGTTGAGCTATCAATTGTGGCCAGGTCACTTCTGAAAAAAAGCTATATAGCCCAGTGGGATTTATCTGGTAAAACAAATATAGTTTTGATATTCCGTTTGTGGAAGGTATACACAAGCATATCCCATGTTGCATTCGAGTGTGGTTTAGCGAGGTCTATGGTTGCTATGGGAGAGAGAAGCCATGTGATTCCTCAATGAGATTTGTTTGCCACATCGACTATCTCATATTGTCGATGTGCCTAGCCTTGTTGAGAGTATATTTCGTTGCTAGACTGCTCTTATGATTTATATTTTGTTGCTGTCTTCGTGCAACCTCATAGATAGTGTTTTACAAATATGAAAAGTATAAACTAAGAATTTGTCTTACATTCTGGAAAGCGTGTATTGTAATTGTGTGATATGTTCGCGTTTGATAGCTTTACCAAGGTGGAAGGCATAATACATTCTTAGCAGAGTTGTAATATAAACCTAATGTGAATTTCAAGACTTAATCTTATACTTGTATCTGAATTTTTTACATTATTTTTCCAATGTTAATTGGGGCTTGTTTCATCTTACGTTACATATGTCATTTTATATACTTCATTAGCTACTGTTGTATTCTGATAATATATCCACAAAAATAAATTACAATGATAAGAATTGAGACTTATGATAATACAAATTATCTTGAGTCTATGTGTGGGCTATCACATGTGCATATAAGCGATCACTTTGAATTAAGAATCATAATATCTTTATCAGCCTTAAACTTGCTCTGATAAATTACAAAATACTTGCACACAACCAAGGAGATAACAATGACACTGAAACCTTACGTTCATCAATATTTAGGAGGAATAAATCAAATTCCGAGACAGTGATAAACAAACAGCTACACATGCAGATTTGTGTAAATAGTGACATAATCTATAACTCATGTAGATGTTTAAAAAACATGTAAATTGGGCGTATTAAATATGCATAGCTTATACAATACATAACATTTACTTTATTATATTTGTGTCAACAAAACATCCCAATAATATGTATATGTCATTTGAAACAAATTCGTATAAAAGATGTGCTTGTGAATTTGCAAGTTTATTTAACATTTTCTGAAATGTTCATGGGAGCTATGTGGTTAGATACTGCAGCACAAAATAATGATTGGTGCCATTGTGGAGAATGTAATAAAAAAAGATAAGCAGACTATCTCATTCGTCTCTCCACATAATATATACAAGTATTTGTTGACACTACCCATCAGCTCCATGCCCTCCTTGGAGTGCATAATGTCAGCAGCATTAATCACTCAACTCACAATGCACAGGTTCAGTTCAACTTTCATTCGAGGGTTGATACAACCCATTATCCATCTGAGGTTGATAAAATAAGTACCACTGGGACATTGATATTGGTTTATGGTGACTGGTCCCTGCCATGAAACATTAAACTTGCCTAAGGGCCTCCATTAGCATCTTCATCATTCAATATTCATATTGCGCATCGCATGTTGTATATTTTGAGGACCCTGTAGCATGGGGTCCCCTGTGGCAGCTTTCACTGTGTGGCTCAAGGTAAACGCCACACCGACCTGAAAGTGGGCATGAATCTGCCAGTAACTGGTGCTGTTGCAATATGCCTTTCACAATTAAGCAATTTGCGAGAGATATGCGTATATATCCAATTTTGACCATGGCACGGGTACACTCTTTTTCAAAGAACGTCGTGGATTCTCTAACGTCCACCATTAAGTGGACGGTGCATGCTTAATGGTTTATACAAGCCAGCGTGCTCCCTCTACGCCTCATCACTACTCATGGAGATATTGACGATGACGAGCACCACTCCACACATGTTTAAGCTGGGAGTCACTTTGAATTACCCACGATTAATTAGCCACTCCCTGCTCGGGGGGTGTGGGGCAGGGGGTGTCGGTCGGCAGGGGGTCTCGGTCGGTGTAGTTGTGCGGTGCTGTGACGCGCATCTCTCGGCTGGCGCTGCAGGTGACCGAGTCGTGCGACTACGTGTACGTGGACGGGCGGGAGAGCGCCGGCTCCACACGTGCGCACATCCAAGTGACCCACGAGCACTTGCGGGCGGGGCTGGAGCTGGCCGTGTGGCTGCCCCGGCTGCCGCTTCACATCCAGCTCTCCCACTCGCAGCTCGGCCAGGTCAAGGGCTGGAGAGTGCCCATATTTTCTGAAAGCAGGTATGGAAAAAAATGTTAAGTGAAATTAATGACACTACATGTGTGTTATTGGCTGCCTCATTTGTATTGTTTACTCGGACACATAGGTTTTGGTATTTCATTGATTCATACATTTTTGGTTGTGAGAATTGTTATTCAACGTAAAGGGAAGCTGTAATATAATAATTGGTGCGTTAAGCATATTTCCACGTGCCAATTAAAGTTGTTGAACAATTCATGAAATATTAATTTTAGTATTACTTATATGGAATACGTCTAGTAATTATAATGTACAGCCCTTTATCATTTCATTGCCGGGGTACAAACTCTCATACTGCTGAACTAGTAACTAATTGTCACGTTTTGTTCACATGGCAAACCTTACTAATTAGCGGTTTCGGGTGGTGGTGTGTTTAGGGACATTTATATTTAACCCAAATAAAATAGCCTCTAGCATGGATCATATTAATCGCGAAAGCCTACGTGTTAAACTGACAATGTTTCACTTATAAACAACATGGCACAAACTTGGCCCTCCATAGAGGCTTTAGTTAGTTCACATAAGGTATTTTAAATAGCACCGTTGAGGTACACCTGTGTAAATTATATGCTGCGTTAAGCCTAAGCGTTTAGAACAATGTGACCCTGGCTCGTCCCCTAACTCCACCCCTTTATGTAATGGTTGTGATCAATTGAGCATGGTGCATTTTTAAAGGGATGTCCTGTGCACTAAAGCGAATGTGTAAACTATACGCTCTTCTCTCATTAACAAGAGAGACTGTTGTGTGCTGTGTCATGACTAAATGTTTTCTGAGAAATGTTCCCTAATTACCATTGTTGGTAAGTGCAGAGAGCCGTGAACCACCTTGCAGATGATTAGTATAAATATATTAAGCAGTTGCGCTCCCAGGAGGTATGCTTGCGTGCATTGGGTTTCACTTAAATAGCACCCATACTGTGCTTTCAAAGGCCCTCATTATGTTGCTTTCGTATTGTGTAAGGAAATTATGGTCCCTCTGTGCATTTCACAGACGATATGAGGCTTTACATGTACACTTCTTTGTTCCCAATGTTACCCTTATTGTGGACTTAAAATATGTGATGCACTCAAATTAATTAGTCTTTTTTTTATAGCTTGACATTTCAGAATCGAAATCTTTATTTAGACTGGAGGAATCCGATGAACTACTAAGCTCTTTTCAACAGATGTCCAGTAGAAAACATTGTTGGCGACCAGCAGTCCAAAGCCATTACATTACTCAAAAAATAAAAGTGGTCTCCCACTCAAATGAGCATGGAACATTGCGCACTTCCTGTTAATCAGTCCAGAGCCAGTGGTGGAAATTCTATATAAGTTTTCTGGTGGCAAGTGTTTTATAGGACGAACTATTTTGACTTTCCCTTGAAATGGTTCTCATTATATCAACCCTACGTGGAACAAAAGGCTGAGTTAAACCTCTACAAGGAATTGGAGCTTGCACCTTAACATTCGCAAGCCACAGATCATTTTAACGTTGTGCCACATGGCATCTTACTGGTTGCTATATATTTGTTCCTCCCCAACAGAAGAACGATGAGAACTAATTATGTTCCGATGGCTGTAGAAAGAGCCCATTTCAATTACAATTAGGGGTTTTAGCCAACTCTTGGTTATGGACATTAGAGCCAGTGCAAGTCATTGCTTATGGTAACATTAACATTGGTTCAACATCTTCTGCAGCTGAAAATGAAATAAAGCACAAATCACTGTTATAAATGTGAACTCAGAAGTAGTTATATTACGCTATTTCCTATCCAGACACTCCTTTATTTGCTCATGAAAGTACTGTAGAATCTACAAGGTACCCTTCTGAATTGCTTGAAAATGCATTATATTTTTTGCATTTGATTATTTTGTTCGTATTAGTTTAAAATACAAATTTCTTTTTCATGAATTTTTAAATATCAATGATTTGTAATGCTGGAAACTGCCTGATGATGCTGGTTGAAACTACGAGGAAAATGTCCGTACCTAATTTTTGATGTTGTGAATCACTCCAACACTCCAACACACGGTGGTACTGCTGATGTATTGGCATGTTTGTTCATGTGACAACTTTATTAATTGGCTGTACTGGGTGGAGAAGGGTATATGACACACATTTTATGAATGTGATCTGACCCCCCCAAAAAATCAACTGTGAATCAATAATATTGGCTTCAAAAGTGTACTACGTGTTAAATTTACAAGATTAATGTTTGCAATTATTTCAACCAGCCAAAATGGATATATATAAAAGATAACTTGCGACAAGCACTTTGTGAAAGGGATTTGTACATTTTGTCACGGATTATGTTAACGTCATAACTGACATCAGTATGCTCATGTAGGACCATAATTGTTACAGGTGCAGCTTCATCTATTGAGGCTTTGATGAGAGATAGCAGAATGACCTCTGCAACCCAACAGCAGAGACATTCTTGAACTTATTTTATTGGAATGGGAAGCCATGTAGGTGCTTTTTATATTATAGTAATCTAAAGTGATTTTGAAGCAAAACATCAAAATGCCTGTCAAATAATGTACGCCCAGGTTAAAAGTGTCTAAACTGCAAGACATCACTTTAAACAGCCACAAAACCTGCGAGCCTCACCAGAATATGTATGCGTACATGCATTGACAGCAGTCATATCTATTTTACTTTCCTAACACAATGGGTGTTACTATGATACAGGTGTAGTGTTTGACTTTACGCGTACAACTTCTGTCTTTCTTCAAACACCGCTTTATTTACATCATTCAACATGTCCTCCACACTCTACAGTATCCTGGTCACCACGGCTCGCTCGCCGTGCTCCGCCCGTCTCGCTCACCACCTTTGTCTCCCCACTATCACTTCATTTCTCCGCACACAGCGAGTCCCCGTTCAGCAGCTCTGCACACAGCGTCTTCAGCTCCGCTATCGCTACGCTCTCTCCACTGCTAACTACTTCGTCTTGCTTCAGCTCCGCTAACGCTACGCTCTCTCCACTGCTAACTACTTCGTCTTGCTTCAGCTCCGCTAACGCTACGGTCACTCCACTGCTAACTACTTCGTCTTGCTTCAGCTCCGATAATGCTTTTCGAACTCCGTTCCTCACTCTGTCTCCAACTCTGTTCCAAACTTTGTTTCTACTCTGTTTCCAAACTCTGTTTCTAGACTGTGCTTCTACTCCGTTCCTAACTCTGCGTCTTCATCGTCCAGCTCCCAACTCCAACCAACCTCTGTCTCTGTCTCCCTCAATTTATCCCCTTTCTCATCGCTATTTAATTGGCCCGCGTGCCTCCGCACGCTTCGCGTCCTCAAACACCTGTCCTTCTCCAGACATCTCGACGCCTCCTCGCCCTTGACAACAGCCACAGCCAATCACCGCCGTTGCTGATCTTCTGGCTTAATTGGCCCAACCGTTACCTCATCACCCCAGCCTTTGCACCTGGCGGTCCTAACACGACCCACACTGTTTACGCCTTCTCCACTGGCTGACCCCAGATAAACCCACACTCTCCGTGTGATCATGCAATTGTGCAGTTTCCACAACACATCTTCATACTCCACTACACAGGCATACAGTACTTTAAAAAATCACCTGTTGATGTTATTTTTAAATATGCATATATAGTTACCCTAATGGTGGTCTTATCAGCTGCAAATTATGCAAGTTTGATACAGTTATCATAATATCCAAATGCACTGGAAATATCCAATTTCTATGATAAATTAAATAAGTTCCAAGGATGTGAACTCCTTTTGGTGTACTGTGTCCTTTGACTTGCATTATTAGACTTGGTCAAGATGAACCAGGCTCTGGTTAGATTTGATAATACTTTTGATTTTATAGAGATTGGTAAGATTCCTGTTCCCTCGACCACATCCACTACCCTTTGTCTGATACGGTTTCCCTACTTTTGCTCTCCAAGGCATAATTATTTATGCTGGATTATAAAAAAGAATTAACCACCCGCATGGACATAGTTGTTATGGTACGTTCCTAGCAATTGTGGATATGGAGCATCTTGTGCCATACGCTGAAGGGCAAGGAGGGGGGATTTGAGGCCAGATGGTCCCCCTATACAACACCTGAAATGAGCAAGCCGTATGGGGAGTCGGGAGATGGGGACTGATGATATGGGGTATAACCCCTATGGACTAGATAAGGGAACGGGCTCAGATGGGTGGAGGCAAAGTATGATCGCTCTTTAGCCGCCTCTGATGGTTTTGATTTTATGGTGATTTGGTTAGACCCCTTTCTACCCTCGTCACCCACCTTTCCTTCCTTAAATACATGCTTCAACCCTTCCGTAGGGCCATATTATTCAATCGGCACAGTAGGTACTGTCCCTAGTACGTACTTTGCCTCGGGCCTACAAAAACTAAAGGGCCTTTGAAAACAAAAATACCACTTTTTTTGTTTGTATGATAAAAAATGTAACCAAGATATATTTTTGAAAAAATATATTCATATGGCTGTTCGTTGCAATTTTTTTGCAGTGGTAACAAGTTGTTGACTCGTTTTAAGTGAGGCATGTTACACCTAAAATAACAATAAACAAATATTTAAGCTGAAACTAAAGTAAAAAATATGGCGTTTGCCATGCGGTCGTCCTGTCAGAACATTGAATTTGTTATCGATGAAAATGCATGGCATCCTTTTAAAGCTGCATCATCCGATATGATTATGATAGATTTGAAGCTTTCGTGGCTGCAGGGATTCATACTCTTTCTTTTTTTTTTGTAAAGTCACGTAGGTAAAATAAAATAAAACAACTAAATTAAATCACGACATTTCGGAGGCAACACAAGCTTCCTTCTTCAGGTGGAACAGTCACAGCGATTCTGCTGTGACTGTTCTTCAGGTGGAACAGTGACAGCAATTCTGCTGTGACTGTTCCACCTGAAGACGGAAGCTTGTGTTGCCTCCGAAACGTCGTGATTTAATTTAGTTCTTTTATTTTATTTTACCTACGTGACTTTAGCGAATAAAACAAAGAGTTTGATTATGAT